ACATTTCCATTTTAGATCAAATACAGTCTTAAATATTTAGAAATACCAACATGTAGCAAGATATCAGTACATTCCTCAATTCTCCTAATAAGTTAACATAATACATTTATCACCTTTTAGATGACAAGTAAAGATGGCATAAAGAAGAAAAATGCAATTTCCAACATAGCTTTTTCCATGTTATTTAGGCCATGGTAGAGTAGAACTAAAGCTGGGCACAGTGCATGTCTGCAATTCCAGGAACTCAGGAGTTGAGGCTGGAGGATTGCAAGTTCAAGGCCAGCCTCAGCAACTTAGTGAAACTCTATCCTGAAATAAAAACATAAAAAGGACTGGGGATGTAGTTCAGTGGTAGAGCAGTTTAATACTAGTACCAAACAAAGATTTAGAACTAAAATGTTCAACATAGACTGAAGGATGATCTCTTTGTGACCAGGAAAATCAGGGATAGTATCTTCACCATGATGTCCTAACTACAAATTCTTCTGTATTAAGAGAAGAATGCTTGGAGAAGCACCTTGAACAGTTAAAAAACGTAGAGTTCCAGGTGAATAATTCCATTCTTAACTTGCTAAGATGAATTGGAGTTTTATCAACCAGCTACCTTGGAGGGAAGCAGAATGATTTGCTGGCACCCAAAATACTAAATATTAATATTGGAATGTTGGACTTTAGATGGATTTTTAAGACTTTAATCTGAATTAATACATTTGAAAATAAATATGTTCAATTTTACTTAAATAATAAAGTAAATGTTACTAATAGACATATATTATATGAGGACTTCTCACTTTTGTAGTTTTTTATGTATTGAATTAAGGATCTTTCAGACTTGCACTTATAATTTGATTCTGTTAGTCAAACCACAAACAAGTAAGTTGTTCTCATCACCAAATAATACCGAGAGTTCCCTTTCTGTGCTGTTTATTCCATGATGCTTGCTGACAAAAGTAGGGAAGATCTGGATGGGGTTGGGAGAACATGTGCCCATTCTGGATCTCTCCTACAACATTCCAAATGGGCTTGGTTAATTTTATTCATATCTTTTAATAGCAAAAAAGTAAACAAAATAAAATGTACCCTCAAAGTAAAGGAAGGACCTTTCCTACAAACTTGCCCTTTATCTGGTGGTGTTGTTCCCTCCCAACCCAGTTATGGCTTCTAGCCACTAGTTCTACACCCTTGTGTGACAGAGCCTTCCAAATGACACAAAATGAAAATGCCAGATACTTTGTTAAAAAATCAGGAACACTGTGATGCTAAATTGTACCCATGTTTTTTTCTTCAGTCTCTCATCTATCAGGTTTTTATTAGATATTAGCATCAGATATCATTAGATATAATCCAGTGCATCCACTTCTATATTAATATTAGAAATTTAACATCCTCTCCTAGACCTTGGGAGACTCACTGGACAAGAACAGAGGCTCACAGGTCCAGATACCTCATGACTCCACGTTGGTTTGTTATCCATTACCTGTCAGTTCCTCCTTTTGCCAGCTGTGCCAGTTCCTGCCTGGAGACAGCTGACAGTTGCCCTCATTCCTCACCTAAGACACAAAGAGGCAAGTGCCTGACCCTGACCTTTCCTTTAGAGGACAATGACAGAATGTTGCCCTCCATCCCCAGCTCCCACTGATGTGACCAGGTCTAACTCTTACTCCGTGTAGTTTACACAGTTGTTAAACAGTGATGTCATATAACTGTCTAAATATGTTATAATTATAAATCTTTGATTAAGTCACAGTTTGCCCCAGAAATAAGTAAGTTGCTTTGGGAACTAATTGAGTTAGAAAATGTTGTCTGCTCATATTTTAGAACAAATATTTTGAAATTGTATTAAAAAAAAAAAAAAACTGTTGTGCCAGGAGCAGTGGTACCTGCCTTCAATTGTAGCTACTTAGGACACTGAAGCAGAAGGATCACAAGTTTGAGGCCAACCTGGGCAACTTAGTGAGACCCTGTCTCAAAATAAAATAAAAAGGGCTGGGTATATAGTTCAGTGATAGAGCACTTTCTTAGCATGTGGGAGCCCTGGGTTCAATCCCTAACACTGAAAAAAAAAATTCTATATGCAAATAAAATGGATACAAAAAGAAATATTCCTCTGTACCAAATATTTCCCTTAACTATATTTTATGATGGCTAAAACCCCTCAGATTTACAATAATTTCTTAGAATTAAATATTGTCTTTGCAAGTATTAAAAAATAAAAATATCAATTGGTAGAGTGAAAACAACAGTCATTCAGTTAACATCTCAGTGAAGGTTGGCTAATCAGATCTATTTCCCATAGGAAAGGACATCAGAAGGACATACTAAAGAAGGGCACAGCCCTTGAGTGTGGAAAGGAAAAATGGGAGATGGGGCTGTCCCCCTAATAGTTTTCATACATCCTTCTCTGGGCACTTTGTGATGATATCTTATATGAGTTATCAATTTATCTGTGGAAACTTTCAGAACTAGATCTCACATTCTAGGACCCTAAGCTGTATTATAATTGTCCAAGGAAAGATCCTCTCTTCTCTACCATTTCTAATTTCTTTATCCAAGGTATTTTTCTCAACTAATATTAGTACCAAGAAACTCTGCTAGCCCTTTGAAGGTCAGTTCTACCATATGCATCACATTATTTCCTCCTTTTATTCAATCACTCAGGATTGATTGAAATGCACTGATACGTGCAGATTTTGTTATAAAGTACTATATTTCACATCTCAGTACTGTATCTCAGTTTTCTCAGCAGATACTTAAAATTTGACATTTTCACTGAAAATGAAAATAAAATTATAAAATTCTCCTAAAAAAATGGGTGCTGGGGATGTATCTCAGTGGTAGAATGCGTGTTTAGCATGTGCAAGGTTCTGGGTTGGATCCCCAGCATCAAAATCAATCAATAAATAGAAAGAATGAAAAACGTTATGATAAATGAAAGAAGCCAGATTACAAAAAAGTACTTGTTGCATTATTCCATTTAAATAAAATGCCTAGAATAGGTAAATCTATATAGAGGGAAAGCGGATTAATGATTGATTAGGGCTGAGGGTGGGGGTGGGAATGACTACTAATAGATGTGAGGATTCTTTTTGAGCTGATGGAAATGTTCTAAAAACTTGACTGTTATGATACCTGTACAACTCTGAAAATATACTAAAGCTACTGAGCAGGATGCTGTAGCACATACAGCATCCCAGTGTAATCCCAGTGACTTGGAAGGCAGGAGGATTGCAAGTTCAAAACTAGCTTCAGCAACTTAGTGATACCCTAAGCAACTTTGGAAGAACATGTCTCAAAATAAAAAATAAAAAGGGGTAGGGATGTGGCTCAATAGTTAAGCACCCCTGGGTTCAATTACTGGCACCAATAAAGAAAGAAAGCTACTGAATTATGTATTTATGATGGAAAAAATTTATGGTGTATAAACTGTAGTCAACAAAGTGGTTTAAAAAACAAAGTCAGAACTGAGGATATAGCTCAGTTGCAGATATTTGCCTACCATGCTTGAGGCTTTGGGTTTAATTCCCAGCACCACAAAAAACAATAACAACAACAACAGAAAAATCAGTGGGCACTAGTCTTTGGTGGACCTCTCCATCCAATTCCAGCTTCCTTTCTTCTTCCTTCCTTTTCCTTTTTCTCATTGTTTGAATTCCTTCCAGACTGAAATAGAAGAGAGTAGCCTTTTAGAGCTCATTTTGTCACTTTAGAACCAAGAGAATCCCAAGTTTTCTTTTAGAAATGCATTAGCATAGGAAAAAATATAAAGCTAAGAAAGTAGGAGACACTGAAGTATGATTTATGATTTATTTTATGAAATCTTTCTTAGTTTCTTTAAATTGGTAGTTATAATAAGCTTCAAGTATCCCTACTCATACTAAAGATTGATTTAAGCTCTTATGAAAGTATACTTGTATAAAAAACATTCAGTCAGGTTGTCTTTGTCCATTTTGTGCTATTATAAAAGAACTACCCTTAGACTGAATGGTTTCTAAGAACAGAGATTAACTTTTTAGTTTTGGGAAGTCTAAGGTCAGGGAACCCACATCTGGCCAGGCCCTTTGTGCCTCATTCTCCCATAGTAGAAGGCAGGAGGGCAAGAGAGCACATTTGAGAGTGAGAGAGAAGGGAAGTGGACAGAATCGTCCTTTTCTCAGGGACTCACTAGCCAGTGATAACCTACTGACCACGGTGATAATGGCACTAATCCATTTATGAGGTGAGGGCCCTCTTGACCTAGTCATCTCCTAAAGGTCCCACCTCTCAACACCATTGCAAGTGAACTTTGGGAGATATGTTTAATCATATCACAGGGACAGAGAAAGGAGCTGACCCAAACAGGGCTGCTAGGGTCAGCAAAGCCAGAATTCCCCAGGGTTCACAGCCACAGAAACAAGGTACTGCCAACACCAAAACTTTTGATACATAAGCAATCCATAAATATATAATATTTGTCTGGCTGCAGGGACTAAAGTGGGATAAAAAAGCAGGAAAGGAAACTTCAATATAAATTAACAGTATCAACTGCCACTATTGGTCATTACTATACACCAGGCACTCCACTGAGTGCTATTACACATATCTGGTTAACCCACACAACAATCCCAAGACTGTTATCTCAGAATTACAGATAAAGAGCAGGTATGCTGGTGCATGCCTGTAATCCCAGCTACTTGGAGGCTGATGTAGAGGATCACAAGTTGGAAACTGTCCTCAGCAACTTAGTGAGACCCTGTGTCAAAATAGTTTTTTTAAAGGGCTAAGGATGTAGCTCAGTGTAGAGCAATTGCCTAGCATAGACAAGTCACTGGATTCCATCCCCAGTAGTGTAAACAAATAAATAAACAAGTAAGTAAATTATAGATGAAGAAACTGAGACTCAGAATAGCTAATTAACCTGCCCAAGACCTCACAGCTAGTAAAAATGACCCCTGCATATGTACTGTAGTAAGGTATATATTTATTTAACATTATGTAATATTGCATGATTATATGTGTATACAAATATATAATATTAAGAATACATAAGGCCTCTAATGTGGAAGCTAGAGAGCAAAAAAAGGGAAAAAGGCATGGGATCTAATAAAATAGAAGGGAGACCAGTAGAATAAAGGAAGAAAAGTACGAGAAGGGAAGAGGAGAGAGAAAGGAGAGGTACTCAGTAATAAAATTAATGAAATTATGTTGTGTGCATGTAGGCATATGTAACAACTAATCCTACTATTATGATAATTATTATGCAATGATAAAAATCAATTTAAAAATTTTTTAAAGATATAAGACTTCTAACTCAAGGAAGAACTTCACTTGTGTGGACTAACTCTCAGAAAATAGGTATGAACTGAAACTTTATTTTGGAACCCACTAGTTGCATAATATAGAATTAAGATTGATGTTTTCAATGGGTGGGGCAGGGTTTTTGTTTTGTTTTCTTTTTTACTTGTCATTTTGTTTCAGAGAACTGAGTTTTTCCCCCCTAGAATATAAAAATACATTTTAGAGCTTTAACTCATAACAAAAAGAAATATATTACACTGCTACTTATTTTAAACCAATTCCTGGGGCACTGTGATTTATCCATCTTTGATCAAAGGTTCTTCCTAAGCAGAGACTGATTTTATGAATTTTCTTGAACTGTGTTAAATGGCATCACATTAGCATCAATATGAAAGAGAAGCAAGGGGTGGGCTTGGCACAAAAGCATGACCTCTTATTAGTTACTATTCTGATACTTTATTTGTCAGCACTGATTCAATGGCAGGGAAAGACGGCTCATAGGAGATTATTTAGAAAGACTATGGTACACTTTACAGCCTTTCTCAAGCCATCAGGGTGAAGAATTGACTGGTACTTACATCCATCATTATATGTAGCATTTTGGCTCTGTAATTAAATTGAAAATAAATCACATGCAGCAATTTGTTAAATTTAAATACTGTTACAAAAAAATTTAAAAAGATCAGTGAATGAAATGAGCTTTTGAACTTAAGGATATGATTTGAAAAAAAGATTGCCATTCATTCCGACTAGCAAAAGAAAACCTAGTAACACTTAACTCTACTGAATCTCGAATGTGATGAGGCCATTAGAATCTGCCACAGAACTGGATTTTGCAGGAAATAACTGCAGTAAACCCCCATGTACAGGAAACTCAAAACTTTAAGTTTAAAATAACTCATGTTCATAGATTGGCTTCGGTATACTTTCCAAATTATTTAATTTTCCTTAAGAATTAGACATAATATTTATTAAAAACTAGTACAATTAATTTCAGTCCTTCAGAAGTAACTGAACAACAAAGAAGAGACTTATTCAAATTAGTGCCTGAACTAGGAAAAATCAAAATAACTATGTATGACAACAAGGGTATTTCAGGCTACTAAATATTTTTTGGTTAAAAGTATTCTCATATATATTAAATAGTTAAGAGTATATCTAGAAGATCCATAAAAGAATTTCTGATTTGGGATCACTTTAAATGCTCACAGTTTGTTGGGACAACTGACCAGGTGGGACAAGGGAATGGGATAGCTAGGGCTGGACTTCCCCAACAGACTTGCTGGACAGTGGGAGTTGATAAGGGATTTTCCCCAGCGTGGTCACTGAAAGAACTTCAAGGTCCAGAACTATTACACATGAATGATGTGCAGAATCATTGCTAAATGTGGAGGAGCACAGTGTGTGCTGGTTTGACTGGGGGTATAAAGGTCTTCTCTTTTCCAGGCAGGTGAAGCACTTCTCTCTGGGAAGGCTAACAAGAGGAACTAGACATCTAGCATTCCTCCTCGGGATGTGAGAGATGCAATGGGAAGCCACACTTCCCTACCTATATCTTCCTTAGATGTCTAAACTTTTCCCTTTTTGTTGGCTGCTTTAGGAGTGAATAAAAATAACCAACATTGAACAAAGTCTAAGTTCTTGCTCATCTTTGAACCTGAACCAAACTTTGTGGTCTGCTGAATACAGGGTAGGCAGGCTCCCATGATTCCCCAAAATATGAATTATTGTTGAGAGCCAAGTCGGAATGGCCCCTGGCATTTTGCCAGAAGTAATGGTTGAGAGGCGAGCCATTAAGATGATGCTGGATTGATTCAATTGTATATAGACTCCTACTGTCCTCCTGGGGCGCCCGCTACTTTGGAGTTCTTGCAGGGATTTCCTGGGGAGTTGTGTTGGTTGGTGAAGTTCCGGTGGAGGGAGTTCCGGTTGGTGTGGTGTGTGGGAGAGGGGCCACGTGGGTGGCCTTTGAGAGAGTTCCTGGGAAGTGTGCGTGGAGTGCTGTTGGAGTTCAGGCAATAAAGTTTCCTGTTTGAACATACAAGTGCTTTGCGGTGGCTCGGTGATTTGTGCCCAGCCAGACTGCGGCAAATTATGGGGGTTTCAGTCCATTCTGTATTTGTATTTAGAAAATAAGCAAACGGAATTGTGTTCGCAGTCGCCACCACGCAGTTGTCACTCTCTAACACCAGCGCCGCCTCTAGCTCACGGAGCTCCAGCCGATGGCGGGCAAGTAAGAAGGTCTTTCTGTTGTGGCTCATACAAAGCAGACTGCCCCCCAGATCCACTGGTGGTAAAGCACCCAGGTAACAGCTGGCCACAAAAGCCGACTTGCAAGCAGGCACCCTCTACTGGAAGGGTGAAGAAACCGCATCGTTCCAGGCCCGGTGCTGTGGCACTCCATGAAATTACACTCTATCAGACAGAAGTCCAGCGAACTGCTGGTTGGCAAACTCCCCTTTCAGCGTCTGGTGCGAGAAATTGCCCAAGATTTCAAAACAGATCTGCGCTTCCAGAGCGCAACTATTGGTGCTTTGCAGGAGGCAAGCAAGGCCTATCTTGTTGGCTTTTTTGAAGACACCAACCTTTGTGCTACCCATGCCAAACGTGTAACAATGATTCCAAAAGATACCCAACTAGCACGCGGCATATGTGGAGAACGTGCTTAAGAATTTACTATCTATGATTTCATTCTCCAAAAAAAATCGTTTTTTCTCTTCTTCCTGTTATTGGTAGTTCTGAACATTAGATTTCCCCCCCCAATGAGGTCAAAAGGTACCTAAGTATATGATTGTGAGTGGAAAAATAGGGGACAGAAATCAGATATGCCTAGAGATTTACCTCAGAGACATGAATACAATGTTTTCACACACACACACACAAATGCATGTGTGTGTTTCTAGTAGCTTTATTCCTAAGCACACACACTCACAAATACTTCTTGAAACAATACAAATTGTTCTTCAGCTAGAGAATGTACTATGGTATCTCCATAAAGTAGAACAGTCATCAGAAATAAAAGGAATGAACTGTGAATAAACATAACAACACTGATAAATCTCAAATACATTCTGTTAATAGGCACAATCAAAAGGCTATACACTATATGGATATGAGGTGTCCCCCCAAAGCTCCTTGTTAATGCAAAAATATTCAGAGATGAAATGATTAGGTCATGAGATGAAAGCTAATCAGTCCATTCTAGACTGAATGAACTGAGTGATAACTGTAGGCAGGTGGACCATGACTGAAGGAAGTTAGGTCAATGGAGCATCCGACTCTTGGAAATTATGTCTTCTCCACTGGCTCCTCCTTTCCTCTCTACTTCCACTTTGCCATGAGCAGAGCAGCTTCTCTCTGCTATGCCTTTACACTATGATGTCCCTCCTCACCTTAGATCTACAGTGTTGGAACCAGACAGTCTTAGAATGAAACTTCTGACACCATGAGCTCAGACTTTTCCTTTTCTAAGTTATCCTAAATTGTTCTTGTCAGGTATTTGGGCCACAGCTATGAAAATCTGATGAATACATTATATGATTTTTGTTTATATGACATTCTGGGAAAGGCCAAACAATAGTGACAGAAAATAGATCTGTAGTTGCTAGAAAGCAGGGAAAAGAAGGGTTAACTAAGCATGAGGGAATTGGGGGATAATAAACCTGTACTGTCTTGATTCCAGTGGTGGTTACACAGTTATGCTTTGTGAGAACAAAACTGTGCACCACAAAGACTGTGCTTCACCATCTGTAAAAAGATTAAGTGAATTGCCTATGGTCGTTAAGTTAGTATGGCACTGTTTCAATATGGAGTATTTCTGACTCCATATCTTCTGTCTTCACTACTGCTATTCATAAAATGCCATAGTCCGGTAAAACAGAAATGTCTCTTGTTAAAAGATATTTCAGGCATCAGAAAAATAGGTTGAGGTAGTTTTGGTGAGTCATGATTCCTAAACTGATTACCCTGAAAAATAACCATTTCAGAAGGTTTACAGTGCCTGGAGTATTGAACTGGAAGTCATTTCAGAGGTGACTCTTTCCTTTTAAGGATCTCTTATGTTCTTGGAGATAGTGATCCCCAGTTACTGCAGCTTTGGGTTGTTCAACTGGGAAAAGAAAAGCAAAAAAAAAAAAAAAAATTTATTGAATTTCCACTATAGTGCTGGAAGTAACTGAGAATAAGAAGTTTTACACATATTTTTTATTATATCCTCATAACAGTTTCACACAAAGGTATTATTATTTCCACTTTATACATAAGTAAAAACTGAGGAATTATAATTAAATAACCTGTTGACATATTGTCTCAAGCTACTGAAATTTGGGGATTGTTTATGATTAGTGTATGACCTATTCTGACTGATATAATTTGTTTTTGATTTGGTATAATATTTGCTGGTCTTGATGCTTCCTCAGTTAAGCATAGCAATCCATGGTCTGTATTTCAGGATAAAGAAGGAATGTTCTCAGCTGGGTGCGGTGGCAAAGGCCTGTAATCCCAGTGGCTCAGGCTGCTGAGGCTGGAGGATTGCAAGTTCAAAGCCAGACTCAACAGACATGAGGCACTAAGCAACTCAGTGAGACTTTGTCTCTAAATAAATACAAAATAGAGCTGAGGATGTGGCTCAGTGGTCCAGTGTCCTTGAGTTCAATCTCCGGTACCATCCACCCCCCAAAAAAAAACCAAAAATGTTCTCATTGAGCTATATGGCAATGTGATATAAAATTTCTCAAAACAAAAAATATAGCATTGTGTTTAAAATGGACTAAAACTGTCCAGAATTACCTTAATAAGATTCTGTTAAATTAGGAAGATGATTGAGTTCATTGTTTATTTCAAAATCATTAAGCTGATTAAACTTTTTGTGTCTCTATTACCATGTTTCTTTAAGAAAAATGTAGTGAGTTGACAAACTCTTTACATCAATGGAAACAAGTTTTAAGCTTTGCTAATTTTCATATTAATCACTACATTATCCCTATACCTACCAGCCAACTCACAAAATCATGAGAAACAACTAATTGCTGTTTTTTAAATATAGTTTTTTTTTATTGTTGGTTGTTCAAAACATTACATAGTTCTTGATATATCATCTTTCACACTTTGCTTCAAGTGGGTTATGAACTCCCATTTTTAGCCCATATACAGATTGCAGAATCACATCAATTACACATCCATTGATTTACATATTGCCATACTAGTGACTGTCGTGTTCTGCTACCTTTCCTATCCTCTACTAAATATAGTTTTTTAGATGTCAATGAGCCTTTATTTTATTTATTTATTCATTTATTTATATGCAGTGCTAAGGATTGAACCCAGGGCCTCACACATGCTAGGCAACTGTTCTACCCGGAGCCACAACCCAGTCCTCCTAATTGCTGTTTTAATCTACTATGCTTTGGACATTTCATTACACAATTTCTCTAGCTGTTGCAAAATGCTTGTAATTGTCTTTATTATCTAATTGAAAGAGAAATCAGTACATGGAAGTGGGATACTATGGTGATATTTGATAAATAGTAAATATCTGTGCATTTTGTGCATTTTCCTGGGGAGATCAATAACTTTAATTAAATCCTTACAAGGATATAAGACCAACAAAAATATTAAGACCCTCTAATTTTCATACATCTCAATTAAGAAATTGAATGTCAGGGAGTGATAGGTTCAATATGGCCACACATCTGAGTTTTTTTTTTTTTCTCTCTCTCTAAATTTTCATTAGTACCCTGAAATGCATCTACAGAAAGCCTCAAGTTAAGAATACCTGGTTCATTAAAAACAGAATACTACAGTGACACAGCCACATCCATGGAAAATGTAGCTCAACTCACAATAGCCAAGCTATGGAAACAACCTAGGTGTCCTTCAACAGAGGAATAAAGAAAATGTAGTATATATACACAATGGATATTACTCCGTCATAAAGAAGAATGAAATTATGGCATATGCCAGTAAATGGCTGGAATGGGAAAATATCATGCTAAGCAAAATAAGCCAATCCCCCCCAAATCAAAGGCCAAATGTCCTCTTTGACTTGTGGATGCTAACCCCAAACAAGGGAGGTTGGGGAAGGGAATAACAGAAATAAAATGGACTAGGCAAAGGGACATGAAGAGAAGTGAGGGGCGAGGGGAATAGGAAAGACATTACTTAGTCATAACTTTCCTAGCCTTGTATTTGTGTACATGACCAGGATAACTCCACATCATGTATGACTGCAAGAGTGGTAACCTAATAGAATAAGTTATACTTTATGTATGTATATTCTACCAAAATACATTCTACTGTCATGTATAGTTAAGAATAAAAAGGGTGGGGGGGGGGGAGAATCCCTGGTCCAAGTGTTGGTATATTTTCATTAATTTTTAGTTATCCCTTTACTTCTGTATACACAATTCTTTATTTATTGTATTAAAGTTGTTTTATTATTATATATTTGATTATTTCTTCTGTCTCCACTGCTCTTGATTGTAAGATTCAACCATCCATATGTAGAACCTCAGTGCTCTATTTCCCACTACCACTAGCTTCTGGCTCCTTGTTTTCATGTCTACATCCTTTTCCTTCATAACTTCAGTAGATATTTCAAGTATTTTCTCCATATTATTAATTTGGTGTCCTTGGGTATCAAGTTGAAACTCTTTATAGACATATCATTTGAACACAATGTGTGGAGCTGGTTTGGATTCTGATTAGACAAGCCAACTTTCTAAAACAATTGTTGAGACAACTGAGGAAATTTGAACACAGTCTGGGTATTAGATGATACTAAAGAAGTATTATTAATCTTGCTAAATGTGTAATGGAATCATGGTTACATTTTTTTTTAAATGAAGAGGAGAAAAAAAAAGGCTTTATGTATGTGCCGGGGATACTGAGGTATTTTCAGGTAAAATTATGTTTGGGATTTGCTTTAAAATATTCTAATCAAAAAGAGCTAAGAAAGATAGATTTTTTAAAAATTATTCACAAAATATTTGTAATTATATAAATTGGACAGTGAGCAAGTGGCAATTATTATATTAACCTCTTTACTTTGTTTTTCTGGAACTGGGTATTAAACCTGAGGCTGCTCTACAACCAAGCTACATCCCTGGTCCTTTTTGTTTTTTATTTTGAGACAGGGTCTCACTAAGTTGCCTAGGCTGGCCTTGAACTTTTGATCCTTCTGTCTTATCCTCTCAAGTAGCTGAGATTATAAATGTGCATCACATGACTAGTTAATCTCTCTACTTTTGTCTTTTAAACATCTCACAATATGAAATATTAAAATTATTTTTAAAAGTCTAAATTATGGGGCTGGGGCTCAGTGGTAGCACACTTGTCTGGCATGTGTGAGGCACTGGGTTCAATTCTCAGCTCCACATATAAATAATTTCTTTTTTAAAAAAGGGTCTATCAACAACTAAAAAAATTTTTTTTAAATTCATGTAACTTTAAAAAAAGTCTAAATTGTGCTTCTTTTAATACAAATTTAATAGATGCTATTTCATTAATTGTTTTCTTTCCTTATGACATCCCACTTCTTTTATATTTCTGCCTGCCTCAAAATAATCTCTTTTTAGCTCAGTCTGCTGTTTTATCTCATCTTTAATGTCTTATTTCAGAAAATAAGTTGGAAGTTTTTTTATAACATTAAACAGATATCCTATTCTTTCAGAAAATCTTTTTCAAAAACTTATTCTTGCCCATCCTGAAGCTATCTCCTCCATTTTGCAGTTTTATAATATTTTTTCATTCTCCCCATGTTAGTTCCCTTTCTTTCTATGTATTATTCTTGAAAGAGCTGGCCTGTTTTCCCCCATAAACAAGGTAGCTATATTCTACTTTGTCCCCTCATTATCCCTCACAGTGCTGTTATACTTTCCTTTCAGTCAGAAGTCTAGTTCATATAAACTTCAGTAAGCTAGAGTCCTAAGGCATGTAGAGGGGTATAGAAACATGAAAAATCCAAGCAGAGGAATTCCATCTCTATCGATCCCTCTCTCCACTGCGAATAATGAAGCTGCTATGTTGGAAACTAAATTTCTGCACCAGAAAACGAATACTCTGTTTCTATTTAGCTAGTCATTCATGTTGAATACAAGTATTTTGCGAATCTCTTTTATGCTGCTGCCAGCTTCATGGGTCTCAGGGCCCTGCCACTTGACTAGCTGCTCTATTCTCAGAGGTTTCTCATGGCCACTCTTTTTAATAATTGCAGTGGCAAAATGGAACCCAAGCAAGTTCCATGGAAACAAGTGTTTCTGTGGTGACTTTGTACTATGTCAACTGGCTAGGCTGAACTCAATTCCCAGAATTCTCTTCCCTTATGTTTCCAGTTAGAGTGGGTGACAAGAGACGTACTTGTATCAGATTGAAAGGCAAACATGAAGCAGAAGACATTATTTAAGAGGGTGTACATACATTGCCAGTGACCTTCTGGCTCACCTGTAGGTTTGTTTGCAGCAGCTCCATCTTCCCCAGGATCCTCCTTTGGCTTCTCCAACTCCTAGCCCAGATGTGTATTTCACTCCATGCCTAAGGGTACCATTTTCAGCCATGACCAAGTAGTGTCAAACATCCCCTTCTACTGTATGCAAGTAGAAAACTAGACAAAACAACATTTTAGTCATTGGATCACAAATAGTTCAGAACTATGATTCCCTGAAAAAAGCTGAAAAACCAGCCTCTACCTCAGAGCAAAGCCTGTCCAAGGAAGGGACATGACCTTAGTCCTTGGAAAAACCCACAGAGCACTCCTAAACATCTACAAATAACAGGAGAGATCTGCTGCGCCAGGTGTCCCTGACTCAGTCAGGCTAGGTGGGGATCCATAGCAGCCCCCTAGCAGCCACCAATCAGCATGAGACAGGGAAATACCTGGGATGCCAGATGACCCTCCCAGTGGTTTATGGTGGTTAATAACAAGTTGGGAAACACGTACACCCCTCTTGGCTCAAACCAATCAGTTCAAACGAATACCCCTTTGTACTGACCAATCACCCCTACCCAACTTGTTCCCGCCAGTGAATGTGCTAATCATGTTTTAGAGTTGTTATTTGATTTTTCCGTGGTGTGTGATGATTTGCTAAAAGAGGCTATGATGTATGTGAAGTCCCTGCCCTCTCCAAAAAAATGTATAAAACTGCTGCAAACCCTGGGCTCGGGGCCTCTCAGTGTCACCAGTTGCTGTGTGTGTGTGCGGAGGACAGAGCTAGCTCGCAATAAACACCTCTTTGCTGCTTGCATCGATCTTGGGTCTCTGGTGGTCTTTGGGGGTCCCGAATTCGAGCATAACAAAGCAAAACAATAACAAGAGCTCTATGACCCACCCAAGCTTTCTGCCTACCAGGACAACTTGGACAGTGACATAGGGAAGATATCCCAGGCAGCCTGTGAAAGTCTTGCCAAGATAAGAAAACAGACATCAAAGGAGAATGAGATGGCTTGAATGTGTGAGAGTGCTATGCCATGAAGGAGGGAGTTATGCCAAAAAAGAGCTCCAGAAATATGCATAATGTCCTCCTGAGTCTCTGACTGAATATAAGCTTCACATAATTAGGAGGAGATTCCAGAAGGCCAGGCAACAAACCTAGGTATAAATTGAGAGCTTACTCTGAACTGGACTGGGGAGTGTTTGGGTTCTAATAAGATGAAGTAAAGAGTCCTGTTTATATTCAGTAGGGATCCCCAAAATGTTATATCTAAGTAGTAGAACTAAGTTAATCACAAAGGCTACTATAGCTTTGTTCTGAGAGCTTAAATGTAAGCTCTTGAAATCATCAAACTTATCAGCAAAAAAACTTGTCTGACAAAATAAAATCGACACTCACTGCAGAAAGTAATAAAATGTAGACACTCAACATTGTAACCTAATTTAAAAACGACTAGGCGGCTAGGGATTTAGTTCAGTAGTAGAGTGTATGCATAGCGTGCATAAGGCCCTGGCTTCAGCATGCACACTCACACACAAATGAATAGTCATGTAGAGGAGCAGGAAAACATAATCCTGAAACAGAAGAAAATAAGACAAGAGAAAGAAATCCAGAACTGATGGAGGCGGTGGGATTAGTAGATTTTAAATATCTTCAAGGACTTAAAGGAAAACATAAATATAATAATTAGAGAAATAGAGGATATGAAAACCACCAACAAATGGAACTTCTAGACACAAAAATACAATACCTGAAATTATAAATTCATGGATGAGCTTTACAAAAGACTAGAGAGTATAGGAGAAAATATCATTAAATACATGACATTAGAACATATTCAAACTAGAGCACAGAGAAGAAAACTGTACAAATACTAAATGATATATAGAGGTGTTTAAAGCAGTTTAGTTTATAATTAGAGCCCCCCAAAAGGGGACAGAAAAAATTATTTGAATAAACAATGGCCCAGAACTTTCTTTTATGAAAGCTATAAGCCCACGTATCCAATAAATTCAACAGACTTCAAGCATGATAATCATAAAGAAAATAACACCAAGGTACATGGTAAACATGGTAAAAGCAGTAACAAAGAAAAAATATTAGAAACAGTTTAAGAGATAGGAATGATATGGGAGTTATTAAAAAGAAGCAATGGAATAACATATTTAAAGTTCCAAAAGAAAAGAATGTTTCAACCTAGAATTCCATCTCCAATGAAAATATATATTTTTTTTAAACGGGAAGAAACTAAAACATTTCCATACTAATAAAAATTGATAGTCTTCATCGCCAGCATACTTGAACAACAAAAATTGTTTAAAAAGTCCTTTAAGTTGGATCATTATAAAATAGACCATATCTTATGGCACCAAGCAACTCTTAGTAAATACAAAAAAATGGAGATAATACCCTGCATTCTATCAGATCATAATGGATTGAAATTAGGAATCAATGATAAAATCAATGATAAAAATACAAAATAGAAGCTACTCTAACACATTGAGACTAAATAATATACTATTGAATGATGAATGGATAGCAGAAGAAATCAAGGATGAAATAAAAAAAGATACCTAGAGGTAAATGAACACCAATACAATATATCAAAATCTCTGGGACACCGTGAAGGCAGTTCAAAGAGGAAAGTATTTAGTAAGCCTGGGCTGAAGAAAAGCCCAGGACCAGACGGATTTCAGCCAAGTTCTACAAGACCTTCAAAGAAGAATTAACACCAATACTCCTCAAATATTCCATGAGAGAAAAGAAGGAAACCCCTCCAAACTCATTCCATGAGGCTAATATTACTCTGATACAAAAATCAGACAAAGACACATCAAGGAAAGTAAATTTCAAACCAATACCCCTGATGAACGTACATGCAAAAATTCTCAAAAAAAATTCTGGAAAATCACATACAAAAACATATTAAAAAGATAATACACCATGATCAAGTGGGGTTCATCCCAGAGATGCAGTGTTGGTTCAACATATGAAAATTAATAAATGTAATTCATCATATCAAAAATCTTAAAAACAAAAATCATTTGATCTTCTCAATAGATGCAGAAGAAGCATTTGACAAAATACAGCATCCTTCATGTTCAAAACACTAAAAAAAAAAAAAAAAAAAAAAAGACTAGGGATAGTAGGAACATACCTCAACATTGTAAAGGCTATATATGCTAAATCCAAGACCAGCATAATTCTAAACGGAGAAAAATTGAAATCATTCCCTCTAAAAACTGGAACAAGACAAGGATGCCTTCTTTTACCACTTTTATTCAACATCATCCTTGAAACTCTAACCAGAGCAATTAGAAGAATAAAACTAAAGGGATACAAATAGGAAAAGAAGAACTCAAACTATCACTATTTGCCAATGACATGATTCTATATTTAGAAGATCCAAAAATTCCACCAGAAAACTTCTAGAACTAATAAATGAATTTAGCAAAGTAGCGGGATATAAAAGCAACACCCATAAATCAAATGTGTTCCCATACATCAGTGATGAATACACTGAAAGAGAAATTAAGAAAACTATCCCATTCACAGAAGCCTCAAAAAAATATATTTAGGAATCAATCAAACAATAGAGGTGAAAGAGCTCTGCACTGAAAACTACAGCACACTGAAGAAACTGAAGAATACCTTAGAAAATGGAGAGCCCTCCCATGCTCCTGGAAAAGCAGAATTAATATTGTCAAAATGGCCATACTATCAAAAGTGTTATACATATTTAATGCAATTCCTATTAAAATCCCAATGACATTACTCATAGAAATAGAAAAAGCAATCATAAAATTCATTTGGAAAAATAAGAGACCCAGAATATCCAAAGCAATATTTGGCAAGAAAAGTGAAGCAGGAGGTATCACTATACCAGACCTCAAACTATACTACAGAGATATAGCAAAAAACACACAAACAAAAGGGCGTGGTATTGGCACCAAAATAGACACATAGACCAATGGTACAGAATAGAAGACACAGAGATAAAACCATATAAATACAGTTATCTCATACTAGACAAAGGCACCAAAAACATTCACTGGAGAAAAGATAGCCTCTTCAACAAATGGTGCTGGGAAAATGGAAAGCTACAGGTAACAAAATGAAATTAAATCTCCATCTCTCACCCTCCATGAAACTCAACTCAATAAACCTCTAGCTCTCACCCTACACAAAACTCAAAGTGGATCAAAGACTTAGGCACTAGAACAGAGACCTAAGAGAAGAAAAAGTAGGCCCAAATCTTTACCATGTCAGCCTACCATCTGACTTCCTTAATGAGTTCCCTAGAGTGCAAGAAGTAAAATGAAGAATCAATAAATGGGATGGGTTTAAACTAAAAAGCTTCTCAGCAAAAGAAACAATCAATAATGTGAAAAGAAAGCCTACAAATTAGGAGAAAATCTTTACCACATGCACCTCAAATACAGCATTATTCCCCAGGATATATAAAGAACTCAAAAAGCTAAGCACCAAAAAAACAAATAGCCCAATCAATAAATGGGGCAAGGACCTGAACAGACACTTATCAGAAGAGGATATATATAATCAAACAACAAATATATGAAAAAAATGTTCATCATGTCTAGCAATTAGAGAAATGCAAATTTAAACTACTCTAAGATTTTATCTCACCCCAGTCAGAATGGCAACAATAAATGTTGGCAAGGATGTGGGGAAAAAATGTACACTCATACATTGCTGGTGGGACTGCAAATTGGTGCAACCATTATGGAAAGTGGTGTGGAGATTCCTCAGAAAACTTGGAATAGAACCACCATTTGACCCTGCTCTCTCAGTCCTTGGTTTATACCCAAAGGACTTAAAATCAGAATACTACAATGAGGGCCATGTCAATGTTTGTAGCAGCTCAATTCACAATACCTAAACTATGGAACCAACCTAGGTGCCCTTCAATAGATCAATGGATAAAAAAAATTCGATATATACATTCAATGGAATATTACTCAGCTTTAAAGAAGAGTGAAATTATGGCATATGCTGGTAAATGGATAAATCTGCTAAGTGAAATAAGTCAATCCCCAAAAAACAAAGGCTGAATGTTTTCTCTAATATGTGAATGCTAATTCACAATGTGGGGGCACTAAGGAAGAATAGAGTTACTTTAGATTAGGTAGACGGGAATGAAGGGGATAAGAGG